ATAGAAGAACCATTTTTGGTTCCACAAAGAACCATTCAGTCAAAGGTTCTTTAAAGAACCATCTCTTTCTTACCTTTTTATAATCTGAAGAACCTTCTTTTGCCCCAAAGAACCTTTTGTGAAACAGAAAGGTTCTTCAGATGTTAAAGGTTCTTTATGGAACCATTTAGACAAAAAGGTTCTTCTATGGCATTGTGAAGCACCTTTATTTTTAAGAGTGTGGGCTATTTAAAATGTGTCTTGTTTTTGTAGTATGTCTCAGAACCGTGATTTCCACACTTTTTCATGATTTATCATGATTAAGAGGTATAATCGATCTTGAGACACAACAAAAACTTTTTAGAGTGAAATATGAGAAAAACGCAGTTGCTCTATTTTGATTCAGATTTTTTTATTCTTGTAACAGTACGCTTATTACATGTAGGTAGACCAGACCTACTTAGAAATTACACTGCATTACAAGAAGAATTATGGCTATAAAAATTAGTATAACCACAAACAAGTACAGCAAATTGCAATTACAGGAAGAAATAAAAAGAAAATCGAAATTTATGCCTGTCTGGTGTATAGTTAATGGAGTTGCATTTCACCAATAAAATAATTTTATTTACAGATGGTTCAAAGAACCCTGAAAATGGTCGCAAAGGTGCAGCAGTATTCATCCCACAATGCAAGGAAAATATTAAAAAGAGAACAACAGATGACTTAGTGTATACAGTAGAATTGGTGGCAATAATATTAGGTTTACAGTGGATAGAAAGTGTGGGTATTTGGACAAGGCTATAGATAGAGTAGTAGGCCCCTATTTTTCTTTGGGCACAGCAGCATGTGGTTTTCAATCCAGTATAGGCTACATAAATGCTTAATAAGGCTATGTTCACACGTAATGTGTTTATTTACGGGAGTGACAACCATATTCTGTTACAAAACTCACACACATGTACATTTTGGACTAAACCCCGTATTTTCGTCAAACCCCTGCTGTCAACGAAACCTTAGCAGGCTACTTCTGGTGTGAAGGAACCACTCTGCGCACGCGAAATTTGTGTTTATATGGTTTTGGTAACTCACATAGGCGGAGATATGAGCCGTGTGTCATCTGGAGGTTTTAGATACAGTAGGCCTAACTGTTTTGCACCGGAGCTGCTCCCGTCAGTTTTGTGGTCTGCGCGCGGCTCATATGTTCGAGACTCTGTAAGTAAGTAGCCTAAACCGCTGTCAATCCCAAACAGTAAATGTGTGAACGTATCCAGTGTTGCCAACTAATTTTCAGGGGAAGTTGCTAAAGGAAGGTTGATTTGTTGCTAAAAGTTGCTAAATGATGTTGTAATGACGTTGCGTGATGACGTCATTACGTAATCACGATGCAAAATTGTCAATTATTATTATTATTACTATTAAACAATTGCAAATAGCAGATAACTTCATTCCTGTAACGTGTGTACTGCTAGGCATCTTTGGTTTCCTCTTTTTGTGTAATTTAAATGGTAAATTGTGCCTTTTTATCGTTTGAGTCACTTATCAAAAGTTGCTAAAACTGCCAAATACATTTTTAAAAATAGCTACATTTGTTGCTAGGTGCTTTTGGAAGAAAAAGTTGCTAGGGTAGTCTGAAAAGTTGCTAAATTTAGCAACAAAATTGCTAAGTTGGCAACACTGAACGTATCTTATGTTGATTCTATCCGCTTCTCTGATCAGTTCCGTCAGTCATCATCAGACTAATCTTCCAACAATTCGTTAAATGAATCGATTCATACGAGTCATCTTTCCGTGAGTCGGACCACACTGGTTCTGCTGTAGGTTTATGCGCAATTGAAGGATATATTTTTTGAGAACTTTTATTTTTAATATTTCTGACATGGTAAGAACACACCGCCATTCTCAAACGTTCCGCAGCTTTATAAAGATATCCGTAAATGATAGCCTACAGTTATATCAATTGTTGAAATATTCTGAATTTAGAGAACCAGAGTGTAATTAGTTACAATATTTCCATGAAAAAACAGTTGTTAAACAGGGCACATGTCTATCATGTGCCGGTCAGTTAAGGTTACTAACCTCTTAAATTTAAGAACATTAACTGTCTTTCTATGCCTGTCTCTTTCTCTCATTCCCTGGCCTATCTTTCTTTCTCTTTCTCTCATTCCCTGGCCTATCTGTCTTTCTCTTTGTTTCTCCCTCTCTCTTGTCTGTCTCTTTTGCCCTCTCTCAGAGACCAATCATTGTGACCTCATTCTTTGCACAATGACATCAGTGTTCAAAATGACCAATTAGTAGAAAGCATGAGAATTCTAACGAGTCTGTTGGGAAAATTGTATGTGTGTGCCTGTGTGATGGCCATGTAGGTAAAGAAATAGCACATTATTAATGAATGCCCTCCAACAGCTGGTACCTGAATGTAAATCTGTGAGACTTTGGTTTCTTGCACATTTGTTTTGTTATGAGATACAGTCAACACTAAAGTGAAGCAGTCAAAGGTGGCAAATGGAAAATGCATGTGTGTGTGTGTGTGTGTGTGTGTGTGTGAGTGTGTTCCAGCTGATTTAATCTTGGCTTTCCTTGATACCATCTACTGTTTCAGCCTGTAGACCCAACATATCATCAGTCATACCTGTCAGCAACTAAATCCCTCCCGCTCTCTCTCTCTCTCTCTTTCACTCTCTGTCTGTCTCTCGCTTATTTCTCTCCTTCCCACTTAAACGCACACATACACACTCACACATGACTTCTTAGTCCCCTGTGTGTTGTTATGTGATTCTCCTGCGCAGTAAATGTTCTGTACATGTTCCTTTGTGTGTTCTCTCTAACTTCTTATTTGCTTCTTTTGAACAAGAATAAATTAATGGCATAGCTACAACAGTTCTTATCATATTTTTGGGGTTTTTGGATATGCACTTTCCTCCCTGGATATCGGTGGATTTTTGACAAAGACTTACTCTGAAAGAAAGGGAATTGGGTTTCTCTAAACCAACTCAAAAGGGAAAAAAAGCTTGTATTTATACTATTGGAAGCCAAGTTGAAGCACAAACAACTTTTTAAAAACACTTATAAATATTTCAAATAAATAGTAGCATTCAGTAGCATTTTACAACAAGGTTTGATTTCTTAACATTCTTTGGAATTTATTTTTGTATATGTTGATTTAAAAATGTATAGTAAAATCATGTTTGTTCATAATGTTAATAATGTTAATTTATACATCTAATACATGTTAGAAATTAACAACACATAATAAATGTTGTAAAAAAAAAATTCATAATTATTTTATGTTAGCTATTACCTTAATTAATGTTAAACCTTACTGTAACGTGTCAACAGTTCTTTCATATTGCCTTCTCTCATTTGTTTTATGCTGTAAGTAATTTGGTTGTGATTAATGGTGATACTGCATGCATGTAGGCCATTCATCTTACTTTTATGAGATCTATCTGCTAAACTTTCATCAGTTTGTCGGCTCCAGATGTGCTAAACTGCCAGGATGACTGACAATCTGTTCATCTTTAGTGTAGTTAAATGTTCCTGGCAATTACATTTAGTATTTTGTAGGCTGAGAAACTGCTTTTGGATGAACACCAATTAATTGACACAAAAACATTACAACATAATTTACCAGTGTAAACACAGTTATGCATAACTAGACTTACCCAGACATTTCATGGTTCGCTTCTTATATATACGTGTATTGGCTGCTTTCGGTTAAAGGTTTAAGTCATCCATAAAATTTCAATCAAGCAAGTGTTTCTTTCCCAGATTTTTATTTGTCTGAGCCACTTTAAAATGTCAGTTGGCATTAGAGTTTTTGTCTCAGCTGTTTTTTAATTAGATCCTTGTCCTCACTCAGTCCCAATCATTTTCAACACAGTAGCAGAGGTTTTCATTCGAGCATTTGGCAGGTGCCAACAGTTGAGATTGTACCTTTCAACACCTTGATGTTATCACTACACAGTGGGAAAATGCCATAGACAGTTGACTGCACAGCTCAAGCAAACACATACTTCTATAGGGATCCATGGGATTTGATTTAGAGGTCTGGTCTAGGCAGTGTAGTGCATGAGGGATTGGCGATGGAAAGTCTGGCTGTCAAGAATGAAATGTAATAATAACAGTGGAGACTTAGTATTTGAGATT